TCGTCGTTCTCGTCATTTTTTACCTCCTCCTTCCTTGACACTGTGTGATGATAAAATACACACGACTGTGCGGCATTTGAAAGTTTGTCTCGTTAGAAGAAATTAGCAAGTATACAAGATTTCCGATAAACGGACAGTAAACTGTATCTCATCCGAACGAAATTCTCCCACTCCACAGGTGCCCCCCCCCCCCCCCCCCCCCCAATTGTATGATCAAAAGGCAGTTTGTTTGAACAACGTTTAAAGAAACAAATAATGTATATTTGTAATATAAGAACATGTATTATTTGTTTGCTACTTTCAGGAGAGGTACATCTTTGCTTTACCATAACACACCCATGATCTTTCAAGCTTTTTACTTATCTCACTGGCTGCAAACGCCCCAACAAACAAAGAAACAAAACGAACTAACAGAGAGTTAACATAACTGGCAAAGTGATAGCCCACTGGAATTGTCGTAATCCCTGACCTCATCTGGACTGTGACAAGGAATACACATTCCCAGATTCCCCTCATGACCCCAGCGTGAACGTTTGTCACCTTTCCGCTCCCTTCGGAGTAAACAAATGTCACCCTCCTTCTTCCGTCTTCTGCCCCACCTCGCTCCCAGCCTTCTCCAAAAACAACATACACCGAGACTACCATTCTACAGCCAATTTCGCCCCAAGAATTTTTTTTTAATCCTCCCATCTCAAATGACCCCTAAGACACCTAGAATCTGCCTATTTTCTACCGTCTTGTACTAAGCCGACAGTAACAGCAAAGATACATTTCAGTGGATTTAACGTAACTCTCGCTATCACACCACGCTGTTTTTCTTACATCTCTTATTGTTTTTCTTTTTTAGCCTACCATTGGCATTCCAGTGCCAACATCCAACTTATATCCAGGGCACCACTGATTTCGCACATCTTCCACCCTGAAAGTAGCATACAAAGAAACTCCCATTTTGAACTTATAATGTCCTTCCTTTTAATTTTTTTCTGTTTGTCCCGTTCTCACTTGCAGTCTTTTTCATTTATCTCTTGAACTAAAGGCGCGTTCCTTTACCCCTTGCACCCACCTGCCTCCAACTCCTCTAATCCGAAAACAAATTGTCCCATGCATTCCTTCTCACAAAAACTGTCCTATCAGCATTACTCCTTTCTCTTCCACCTATTGTCTCCGAAAAACCCGATTCGGGGATTTCAGAGCATTTAATCCTTAGTATATTCTCCTTGCATTAAGCCCAAGCATCTGTTCGCTTGACTTGAAGACAACGGAGACCCAAACAGCTTCTTGTTTCTCCATTGCAAGGCGAGATTTCTCGAGCTTTGTGTTTTGTCTACACCGGCCCCGTGTCTTAGTTATCACCGCTCAAGTTTCAACATCGAAGGCCCGGTCTCCCAACAATTTGTCAAGCGCCTCGCGGTCACCTCTCGCCACGCGCAAGGGAAGACCTGGCTTATCTTTTCTTGTTGGGACTGGTCAAGACAAGTCTATCTCGTACAGGACTTAGCATTTCCCTTGTGCAGTTGGCACATAAAACCTGCTGAAAAAAAAATATTTCATCCCAAACTCTAACTTGGCAAGACAGCAAGAGGCAAAAATAGCTTTGTATCCCTATATAGAAATCTAAGCGACAACTTCAGACATCCTGACGATGTTTCATTACTCTTTTAGTTCCTATCCTTGTTTTAGGACAATACAAATCTGAGATGTAGTTAAGACTCGCCTATGGTTGAAATTTATTAACTAACAACTGGAAAAACCTGACTTATGCAATAAACAATTTTAATCTCAATGTCTCAAATTAATAATTGCTATTCAATTCAAATCTGGTTGTGTAAACACGCGTCAGATTTAGATCTTGGGGGAGAGATTTGAGCAAGATCAAATGACAAACAAACCTCCGCCAATCACTGTTTTAGAAACAAACAACAGCGTCTCTTCCCAGAAAGGCACAAGCTTTTTCCTTTTATTGATTGTGTTTAATCTAAGACGTATAGATGGCCAAAGCTTGCCTTCCATGATTGGATTCGTTTTCAAACTACCAATTATCGTGTTATTCGCTTGCGTCTCTGTGTTTCTTTTCATTGATTTTTAAAACAGGGAAACAATAAAACCGCTAAAATATATTTTAAAAAAAACAAAACAACCACCACTGCAACGATAAGCTCAAAATACATTCTGCCATATGAGGGGGTGTATGTAGTCTAAACCATCAAACTGTACTTGGCAGTTTCGCATGATGAAATCTTCTCTGTCTAATCTTTCAACATCGTGATGTAAAACAGCACTCTCCCCATTTTTCTCGGAGCTTGAGGCTTGTATCCGTAACCAGACACCTACGTCGAGCGTCTCTGTAAACCCGAGTGGCAATTTCGATGCTTTCGGGCTATGATTTATATCGTTGGACACTTTCATGACTTTGCAGGGGTATAGCATCTCACAGTTTGTTCCATTGTTGGTTACAATTTACAGACATTACTGAACAGAGAGAAAAGTGCATGCTTTGAGAATCACGCATGCGCCAAACTAAGTGTGTGGCATGTGAAATTTGAAGCAGTTTTTGGTAACAGGTTACATGCAGCAAGGTACCGTAAGCCCTTTAGAAGATTTTAATGATTTATAGAACGAGGAGAAGAACGAGTAAAAAGTTCGGATTCGGATAATAATATTGTGCTGTTGGATAAAATTAGTTTTGTTTTCCTTTTTGTTTGTTTTGACAGCAGTTTTACAAGTTTGTTTGAGCCACACTATTATTTTGCACGATGACTGATTGCTTCACAGAATGGATATCTAAAACATTAGCTATCGTCACGGCTTTTTTAACAACACGCCAAACGAAGCCTGTTGCAATGAGCAAATACATTACAGGAAGTGACGTGTTACCGCCATTACATTTAAAGTCGGGAGTGTGCTGCTAAAACGAAAAATGTTTAAGGTAGGTTTGTACAACGAAAATCTGAATAAAACGTGTAGAAGCGTGCCTGGTACTGTGCTGGTTGCTCCTGCTGAGTGTCCGTCTGTATTTTCGGTTTCAACCTTTGTGTAACATCCATTTCATTCTGAAGTGCGTGTTCTGTCCGGAGGGTGACTAAGGGCTATTCGGGGACTAGAAGGTTATAACAGAATAGTTGTTGAACGGGTTTGATACTTTTGCTACAACGGTCGCAAAAGACTGTTACTCTGAAAATACAACTTTTGGCGCAGTTATGAGGACTGAACAAATGATTGGTCCGTCTCTTTTAGAAAGGCCCAGAAAGACAGACAGACAGACAGACAGACAGACAGACAGACAGACAGACAGACAGACAGACAGACAGACAGACAGACAGACAGACAGACAGACAATGTCTATCAAAGCACATATGGCCTGTGTGGAAAGGTAGTGGGGAGGGGAAGGGATTGGCTGGTTTGGCAATCAGAGCCCAAATATTCTGAGATTTTTCAAACAATAGCCGAAAAGAAATGCTTCAAATTGTAAACTTTTCTTTAAAGAGAGAGACACAAACGCGCAACACCTAAAAAGGTAAGATGTCTTCGTGTCTACCTAGAAAAAATACGCAAAATGGTAACATTTGAAGTAGAAAATTTCAAATGCGAACTTTTGCTGAGTTTGCCGGAACATGTTCTGCTTAATGGTTGTGTTGAATAGATCGGCCCTGAATTCCGCTTCCTAAAGTTCAAAAGCGCCTGCGTCCTGTAGTTTGAGTGATGCGTCTGAGGGCAGTTCTCGCCCAGTCTTATCATCGCATTCGTGCTTTCAAAGTATAGTCCGCCTGTTTCAAGCCATCTTTGTCCTACAATAGTTGCCATGGCGTTCACCGTCTGAATTAATAATGGCGCTCACACAGGAAACGCTTTACCCCCGGCCGACACGATATATTAGTCTCCGACCCGCCCACCTTTTCAATGTTCCTGGGGAGAAAAGACTACAAGTTTCGTAGTTTACTCCCTCTTACACGAAAACTTGAAGTGTTGAGGTGTGAACATCGCTCTTTACGACTCCCGCTCACCTTTCTGTCTTTTGTCATTAAATTCCAAAGTGCTAAGAATTGCACTACGCTGATTGCCTCTTACGATCATCATTGAACTCTCTCATTGCCACCGGGATAAATGTTCACATAAAGACCATCTGTGCTTGAGGATCCCGCAAAACACTTCTCCTTTTACGGGCCATGCCCTCTGGATAAAAGACCTCAATACTAAACACTGCCATCTTCTGAATCATGAAACATAACGAAACTTGCTCTCAAGAATACGACGCGTCTAATGGAAAACGTATAAATAAATCGTACTCCGAGACAAAAGCGAAAATAGAGCATCCGAATAGCTGTTTGCCGGGATTTTTTTTTTTTTTTCACATTTGAAAAATCCTACCTTGTAACATTGACAGACAGAAAAGCAAAGAAAAGAAGACCGTGTAATTGTGAGTGACACGTGAATAGGTAAAGATAAGCACACGGGATTCCAAATGTGGGCTCGCTATTCTGTCTAGTTGTGGAGGTCATCCAGTCAGGCAGTCACGCGCTGACAGCCTCCTGGTATTCTCTCTCACTACATGGCGAACAATAGATAAGATTGGACGATCGGTGTGGCTTACAGCAAACTATGCAGGCATCATAATACTTTATGCTTTTAAAAGAGTGATTCCTTTCATGGACAGCAGACAGGATTATTATTTTTAAAGCAGGGGTGTGACAAAGAACATAAAATGGTTGGTAGTAAACATATCGACCAGGTGCATGATTATTAGCGGCAACCAGCAACAAACATTACTAGGACAGGAGACACAGACTTACAAGGTGATTGGCCTAACCTGCAATACAAAAGATAAACTAAAGCTTTAGTCCTCCACTTTCCCCACAAAAGGGGGAAGCGTGTTGTAGCGTATTGTAAAGAGAGGAACACCACGTCGAAAACGTATCACTTATCAGTGCAAAGAAAATTAGCCCACAGAACAATGTTGGTAGCCCGTCAAGAGAAAAATGTAGTACATTTCCATTAGTACTTACCCTTGATATAAGTCGTCCCCGACGACTGAAGCAAAGATACTTCTTGAAAATGCGTGCTTTTATCCGTACTCTTCCACCTCCGTGAGGGTCTGATTCGAACAGAAAATCAGCTGCGGAAGAGGAAAGATGGAAGAAATCAAAATTATGGCCAACTCCACTCACATGGCATGTCAGAAGCTCACTGAGTGTCATGCAGGGTTATGGTTCGAATAATAAATCAGGCGATCTTGATCTTAATCAAGCCTATTAGAAAGTTTCCAAAGCTCTCCACATACTTGGTTCAGTCCTTTTGGAGATGGATGTTGAATTTTGGGGTCCTGCCTCTTTATTATCCCTATAGCGTATAAAGGGGTATTAATTATTCACATAACAATCTATACTCGTACAGTGCAGTTTCTGGTTTTGTTTTGGTGATAATGAAGTGGTAAATCATGACGTAGCGTATTACCAGTTTGAAGGTTTTCCAAACATTGTGTATACTAGTAAATGCTGAAGAGAGCTCAAACAAATATTGAAATGTCAGATTATATTTTTAAACAGTAAAAAAAAACCCTGCATTTTCTCTAATCAGCATATACATAAGTATATGCGCGTTAAGAAAAGTATAATTGCAAAGGGCATATTTTCATAATAAACCTAGCTCAGCCTCAACCCAAACCGGTTACTTTCTACATAGTTACTATAATCTAGAGGCAGACAATAACCTCAATCTTGTTTTAACAATGTGCATGCTTTTCGTCTTGTTTCAATAGGATTGGTACATTCAAGGGAGGGGCTTAATAAGAGAGGGAAGGGAGATCGAGGTGCATTGGGTAGTGCGGGGTGGGGTGGGGGGGGGGGTGCTGACTTCGTAAATGCCACCTCTCTCATGTATACGTTTGACTACGTGATCACCTTGTTATAGAAGCACATCAAGCTTACTGATCTAATAATGTGCATAACAGGAATGTAATTAAAAACAAATGCCTCATTAATGAATCAATGTTTATGGAAGCCGACTGTATTGTTTTGACGGTGACGTCAATGTGTGACTGCAGACAAGGAAGATCGAAGGGTCAACATGAAAAGAATGAAAACGGGGCGCCTCTAGTCTAGTCAAAACTTTTGAGGGTGACTTTTTCCTGACCTGTAAAGGGGAACTAGATTCCTGAAACGGGAACTTATTGTAAAGTACCACAAGAAACTTAAAGAACGAGACGAGCACCATAATATACAATATTAAAAATCTCATCTTTTGATGCCAAGATAAAATTAAAAGCCCAAAAGGTGCACAAAGGAGCTAATGAGCAAAGAACATACTGAAAACAACGGCAACTTTAATAGCACAGACTTTACCTTCAAAGTAAAAATTAATATATTTCCTGTGCATTACTCAACACTAGATATATTCTTTTTATTGCAATACCATGCCATAAATGAGTCAATAACAAAGCTCCATCACGTCTTAGTGATCTCATCCAGATTTATTTTCCATCTAGATCACTAAGATCAGGCGATCAGTATCTTTTCAGAGTTCCCAGAAAAGAAGGTAAAAATTAGCGGAAAGATCGTTTGCCCACATTGATCCATCAGTTTGGAACTCTCTTCCCCAACGCTTGAAACATACATCTGAGCCTAAATTTAAAATATCTTTAAAGATGCATTTAATAAAACCATATTTATATCAGTAGATTCATGTTCAGTACAATGTTATGTAAACGACTATTTATCCATTTATGTATTTTGCGAATTGCATTGGGTATATTATTTTATTATGTATTTGTATGTGCTCATTTCTTAACAATGTGTTAGCGTACGCGTGTGATAGGCAAGTAGATGTGTGTGTGTGTATATGTGTGTGTGTGTGTGTGTGTGTGTGTGTGTGTGTGTGTGCGTGTGTGTGTGTGCGTGTGTGTGGCGTGCATGTTGTTGGCGTGTAATGTGTGCGTGAGTGTGTGTGTTTGTGTGTGTGTGTGTTTGTGTGTATATGTGAGTATGCTTGTGTAAATAAAGTTTGTACATATATTTATGTAAAGCACCAAGAGTGGGCGTTATAGAAATGATCTACATTATTTCTATTATTAAGGCTGATGAAGTCTGAAAGATGTTTTCGTAAACTAATACACGCATTCGAAATCAGTTGACATGGCGCTGACAGCGCAACACTAGCATGGCGCTGGGTCTCATTGCCCGATAATATTAATGTCTTGAACAAACATGCCAGCAATCACGTTGCTAGTGACCAAGCTACTGGACTGTCTCCTGTCTGTCCACACTTCATTAATCTAACCACAATTTGGACTACTGTTCGGCCTCCTCAATTTGCCCACAATATTAACGAGCTTGACGACAGTCTTCTCACCCCAAGGCGTGGAAAATCCTCTCTTGTTTTGGGATAGTACCGCTGACTAAACCTGCCACGCCGGCTCTGAGGGGACTCATAGCATAACAAAACGGGATTTACTTTCGTAATGCCATTTAGATTTTCTCTCTCTTTCGTGGCTTTTTGTAAGGACTTACTTCTGCCTTCTTGTATGGGGTCCTCGTGAGCGATTATGATTGCCAGTAAGTTGCAGTGGGAAGTCCAGACAAGTCCTTCTCAGCCATTCCCCGGCACTTGAGGTAAAACTCGCATGAGCTTTGCCAGATTATCCCCCCCTTGTCTGAGAATGACGTTTGCGTGGTCTATCCACTTGGTGTGGATAACTCAAGTTTTGCAGTCAAAAGCCCTGAGCTTTATCGGGGAACGGGCAGGGGGAAAGGAATGAAATTCCGAAAATTGCATTGCCTTATTAACTCCACCGTTGGTCTATGGTACTCTTGAACCCCAGACACAGATTAACTTATTACTGTATGATAATTGTAAGTCACTTAACAATACATTGGCCTTTCGCCTTCGTGGTCACAGTATTGGAAATGACAGGGTGACACTGAATTAAGAGGCACTCGGGTTCAGCGCTGCTTTTATTTTTTAGCTGCAGTTTATTCAGCACAACGGACATGTATCCCCAGGAATAAATTAGGATACCAGAAATACTAAAAACAAATGTAAGGAGTAGACGTTACATCAAAGTGCCTTCCAACCGCATGCTGTACGGAAGCAGTCAGTTTGCGATCTGAAGGCTGGTGTTAATGTGCAAGATGAATTGCAAGACGTTTTTTTAAAAGAAAACTACTAGTGAGAACTTGATCTAAAAGTTACAGAGATATGAAATGAAAAGATAGTTTAAAGAAGGCTATAAACAACAAAAAGAAATAAGTTCGTACGGGTGAGAGAATAATGCAAATAGGCGGATAGACAAAATAAAAAAGATTTTTTTTATAAAAGTAAATCTGAAGGCAACGGAGTTTTGGCTAAGTTTTTCTTTCATTATTATGCTTACTTGTCTCAAAGTAGTAGTAAGATTCGGTTGGTTGAGAGAACCATAACTACAAAGAATAAAACGCTAGGAAAACAGAGGGAGATCAGTTTTATTACCGCTCGGCTTTGCCCTTCCCATCCCCCCCTCACCCCCACCCAACAAGTGGCCTGGGCTCGGGGATGTGATTTACACAGCAGTACTTAGAAAGTACTTTTGCAACAGACTGCAGTGAGACGAAATTAATACTGCTTTGATAAAAAGCTGTAAACCCAATACTCGAGACGGTGCAAAAACATATCCTGGTGGGATGGGAGACGCAGGAAAATGTTTATTGTACAAAAAAACAACAAACAGCAACAAAGTGCTGAGACAGGAACATGATTCGAAGTCAAAATTAGAGGAACAGACGCTGAAGCTACACACACAGCTGCTCATGATGAAAACAAACCAAGGTTTGAAGGGGAAAGGATTGTATTTTGTACCCGATGCCACTCATGGTAAAGCCTCTGGCGTTATCCAACCCATCCTGCAGGTAAGACCGTGCCCAGCTTATCCGCATGGGGCAGGGATAAAATTCTTAATGTCTGTAACTGTGACTTCATTTCTAAGGTGTCTCGGTAACGGTTCGCTACACACAGAAGCACACCTGTATTCTTTTTACTTAGGCTTTTCACGTCTGGTTGTTTATCTCACATAGACCTGAGACATTCTCATTCTGAGGGCAAGAAACATAATGTATGGTACGCTCCTTGGATCGCAGTGTCATGCTCGAATTCTGCACAAAGTTTCTTACACATAAACTGTTCTGCCAGTATAAAGTCTTGTATATTGAAACCATGGAAAGTTTGCCTTCTACCGTGATCTCACAAAACCACAAAACAGCAGTAAAATTATAAACCAGAGTGACAGTGTTATACGTATACAGAGACAAAAACACGAAAACACACACAACACACACACACACACACACACACACACACACACT